GTTCCAGATGTTATGGAACTGTAGCAGTCAGCACTCCTCACCAATGGCTATACTGGGAAAGCTGATGGGAGCCTCAGTTCAGCAACATCTGGAGAGCCACACTGTGGCCAGTGCAACTTAATCAAATAAAACACTTTAATGCAGAAGAAAATGGAAGCAAAGTAACAGTATTTATCTGTGGCAAAACTATAATATAGTGGACCCTTGGTATCAGTTCGGTTCGATTCCAGGATCCCCTGTAGATACCAAAATCCATGGATAGTCAAGTCCCATTATATATAGTGGTGTAGAAAAATGATGTTCCTTATATAAAATGGCAAAATTAAGGTTTGCTTTTTGAATTTTTTAAAGAATATTTTTTCAAGCTGTGAATGATTGAATCCATGGATATAAAATCCATGGATATGGAGGGCCAACTATACTATTACTTAGCATCATTAACACACACGAAATAAAGACTCAACATGGCTCAGTTGTGAAGTACATGTTTTGCATGCAAGCTCCCTGTTTCAATTTGAGTGACTTCTAGGTAGGGCTAGCAAAGACCTCTGTCCAAAACCCTAAAAATCTGTATCTAGTTAGTGAAGACAACAGGGAGTAAGGCAATAAGCTGACTCAGTGTAAAGCAGCTTCCTATGTTCCTTAAATACTTTACAGAATAAAAAAGAGAGAGTGATAGTTCTGTCCTGAGGAATGTACTAACTGTCCCTTAGGATTTTTACTGCCTTAAGAGTACCTTAGCTCATAAAAGAGATATTTATAAGCTGCCTGCTGTATCAGTTAAAATCTAACAGTATTTTTCTTGCTACCCTGCAAAGAACTGTACTTCTGAAGTAAAATTACCAAGGACACATGATTACTTGCAGCAATAAAGCTATAAGCATGTTAAGTTTAACCCACAACATAAAGAGCCTTACTTACCAGGAACTTTTTCAGATCTTTGTAGTTTGTGATAATTCCATTATGGATAACAATGAATTCTGGGGAAAAAAACATTTATAGCTAAAATCATAAAATGATTTCAAGACCATAAAAAAAAGACAGATGAGAAGTGACTTGCTCAGAGACAAGGTATCCTCTGAGTGGTCAAACCAGCAGTAGGCAATTCCCAAAGACAGCTCAACAAATCACTAGCACATGATATGTGAATGGTCTCATTCAATAAATGTGGGGGGGAAGACTCAACCTAAGTACAATTTCTGCTCGATTAATGACTTAGAGAAGTTTAATAATATCTGCTGGCTCCAACTGTAATATTAATGTACTTTATCCTATTTACAGTTCAATTTACTAATGTCAGAGAAAATGTAGCCTTCCTTATGAGCCATTACTCCAAATTGTTTTCTGCCCTAGCTGCACCAGGAAGGACAGTTGTCCATGTCATACATACTGTATTAACAATATATAGGGTAGCCAGCAGTTTGATTTTGGTCATTATGACTCTTTGAATGATCTCTATCAGTACATTAATAGGAAATATAACCCATGCTTGTAAATTGGGTAATTCTTGCCCTTATTGAAATATCAAAGAGGAGGCTGTTATAGAGATCATAGCTGGGTCCGAAATCACAGATTTTTATCTAATCATTGAGTAAACTCACATTTAAACTTTTCTGAAAATTTCTGTAAATTAGTAAGGCTACTTTTCAAGCCATGATGTGTTTTTTTTAAAGCCCATTTTAAAAGTACTGTGATGTGTAAGCATTATGCACATGCAGAGGGAATTTAGACTAGTTGATAAAGATTAAAGGTTCTGTTTAAGACTCAGAACTTACATTCTGTTTCCCAGCATGCAACTGACTGTTGGTTTCTTTTGTCTCTGAAGCTTGTTAATAGCCCTCCCCTAAATAAAAATGCTAAGACCACAGATAATTATTTCTTATACATCTTCCTTATTCACACTGTGTTTAAGAGAGATTAGCACATTAGACTGACTCAATACTTTAAAAGCACCAATAAACCAGCAATGAACCTGCTAGCTGAAATAACCAGAAGGGCCACACTACCCAAACCCACAAAAGAGCTCTGGGCACAACAATGTCTTACCATTGTTTTTGTCTGATCGCTGTGGATGGCTGTTGACAGGGTTGGGCTCACCATGGGTAGCCCATCGGGTATGGGCAATGCCAAGATGTACATCAAACTCAATGTCTAAGTCCATATCCTGTTGCTCTGTGTAGAGAAAAATAATTTTAATTCATCAAGTATCTATCAGGACCAGCATGGTATAGTTGTTTGAGCATTGGATTATGACTCTGGAGATCAGGGTTTGAATCCTCACTCAGCCATGGAAACCCACTACATACCTTGGGCAAATCACACTCTCTCAGCCTCAGAGGAAGGCAAAGGCAAACCCCTTCTGAACAAATCTTGCCAAGAAAACCCTGTGATAGGTTGCCCTTCAGAAACAACTTTGAATGTACATAACAAATATCTATATGCTCTTCCCAAAGCAGAGGAACAAGACTCAGTTGCAACCCCTTGGGCAGCTTCTTATACTTAAGAAGTTTCTTATACTCATTAAACTGCATTATGTATCTGTGGGTGAGATTTGTCCTAGTTCCACCAGCATTTTTTTTTCTGGGAACTGTATTTTTAAAACAGAAAGAAACAAATTTTTCATTTAAAACACAGATATAGTGTATGACAGGAAGGAGGTATGTGTATGTGTGTGTGTATTTCACAATACACTGCTAGATGGCCCCTGAATGGCACTGAGGCTACCAAAAGGCAGAGGAGAGGGTACTTACTGTTCACTTCTTCATCCAAAGCCTTCACTTTTCCCTTCTTCTTGATGAGTGTAATTTTGCCAGCATTGGCCTCCCAATCTTTATCATTACCAGCATCGATTCCAACTCCTTAACACATAGAAAGTTGTAAGAATCCAGAATTAAATTACAGAGTCTCTGAATATAAATTAACTGCTTTGGAGGTTTCAAACCCAGGAATGACCTAAATCTACTTGCTACTTCCACTGTACCTATGGACATTTGTTAAGACTGATTGAAAAGGTCTACTCTACTTAGTACTAACTAAGTCTGGGATTCAATATGGAAATCTTCATAACTGTAAAACCATAGTTTAGTGCAGCATGCATGAGTTATAGCAAGTCTTGGGCCCACCCCCTTATTGCATGTGGCCAAGGAGCAGTTTGGAAGTTGTTTGTGCTTTTAATTAAGCAGGGCTCTCTACCTGCTCTGAACCCGGAACAATGATTAAAATTTTAACTATGGTTAGCAAGCCAGCTTCAGTAGGAAACTGGATTGTTTTAAACTAACTACTGAATGTTCAGTTTGTTGCTTCAGACAACAAATCTGAGGAGGTTCATGTTTGCTTATGTATGTTGTAGTTTATAACATGGTGGCAGGCCTCCAGGTACTGTTGGACTTGCCAGCCAACAACAGCTGGACGGAAGCATGATTCTCACCACTGGTTTACAGCATGGGAATGCAGCCAGTGAGAGCATTTTTGTGAGCATGCGCACAGAAAGACATTTACAAGACAAAATAAGCCAATGAGGCAAGCCACTTACCAGCAGAGTCATACCCTCTGTACTCCAGCCTCTGCAGGCCCTTAATAAGGGTCTCCAGGATCTCCCGTCTTGTCCGAGGAACATGGTAGTTCAGATAAGCAAAGATGCCTGCAAAGTCAATTTAAAATGAAAAGATAAATTAAATAAGTGGAATTTTGTTTCCCTTTGTAACCAAAAGTACAGACTCCCACATCCATTATATCCATTAACGGATATTAACAATATCCATTGGTATGGTGCATCTTTTCTTTGTACAGCACGTTACAAGCCACATACAGGAAGAACACAGTTATCTTTTTTGCAATATTTCTCTTAAGTATTACCTTTTTAAAAATAAACAAAATACAATCATTATCATAATCACTATTACTATTCTATATATTCTCATATATTGTCAAAACTCTGCAAAGCAGAACTGGTTCACTGAGCTTAGTGGTACTTTTATCTTTCAACATCTTTGATTTAGTCCTAGAAAATCTAACTAAGATTTCAAATTTTTGCACCTCACAATTTAAGCTTTCTCCACAGTTTAATCTATCCACCCAACCCATTTAGGAGGAAGCCTGGGATTTCTGTTTTTCAGATGTTATGACTGATGGCATCCCTATGGTTCTAACCTTTAAACACATATGCAACAATCTGTGGGATGCATCAAGGTTTGGTATCAGTGAAACTCAGATAATAATAAACAATGGTCAACACTATTATTTCTATTTCTCAGCCACAATAAAACAAGCTACCAAAATAACAGCACTGCCTGCTCAAAATGGCTTCTGTCTTGCAGGAACTCCTCTACTAAAGGTCATAATATAGTACTCACACCCTCTTGCAACATACTGCAAGATACATGAGAAGGAGGAAAGGGTGAGAGAAAGACGAAGGAAAAGAAAAGCTAGATGAATCATTCTTAAAATTCTACTACTTCAAGATTACTGAAAGGTTACCAACTGCAGTCAATAAGGAAATGTCCACTTAATTACAGGCAAAAACATTGGAAACTTTATCCTAGCCGAGGAACTTTTTCCTAGCTGCCAAAGCAAAGCATTTTTACTCAGAAAAACCTGTCTGAGGGTCACCAAATACAACTAAGTGAAAACAAAGAGACAAAAGAACAAATGGACAACGGTGTTTCCCTCCATCATCATTTACTATGTTTTAATAAGTTTTTAAACTATTTTAATTTAGTCTTCTAACAAAATTGTCTCTACATGACTGAAGCCATTAAAACACAGAGGTCTGTTATCCTCAAATCCAGACTGAGCCTCAAAATTCTGAAAACTCTCAAAAACCTAGGGAAAAGGGCCTACTTCTACCAGCAAACAATCTTGCCCCAGGAGAGATGTTGTTGTTGTGTGCCTTCAAGTCATTTCTGACTTATAGCAACCCTAAAGCAAACCTTTTCTTGGCAAGATTTGTTCAGAGGAGGTTTGCCATTGCCTTCCCCTGAGGCTGAGAGTGTGTGACTTACTTGCCATGCAGGGAATCAAACCTTGATCTCCAGAGTCCTAGTCCAACACTCAAACCACTGCACCACAGGACACAATACTGATCCATTTGATATCTCCAATAACAGAACAAGTACATCAGCATGCAGAAAGTATGATTCTTTCATATCATTGACCATACAGTTGTATCAGCTTATTGCACACACTATACTCCAAAGACCACTTACTCATAACATAGTTCTGAAAGGCATAGTGAAATGAGGAAGTGAAAAAGTTAAAATAAGGCACAAGGAAACAAATTCAGTCTTTCAGCAGATGAATAACCAGATCATAGTCCATGACATCAGTGCCTCTTTTACATATAAATTCTGATAAAGTCACTTTGCAAACAAACCCCCAGAGATCATAAGATAACACAAGTTCTTACAAATTGATCTATATAGAGTTAATCAGTTGACCTTTAAAAAGGAGTCAAAACTCTGTATCTAATGGCCTGGGAGAAACTATTACTTGCCACAGATGACCTAACAAATGGGGTATTTACAAGCCAGGGATAGCCTGATAAGAGCCACTGTGGGCTAGTGGTTTGAGCACTGGACTATGACTCTGGAGACCAGGGTTCAAATGTCCACTCAATCATGGAAACCGACCAGGTGACCCATTTGAGCAAGTCACACTCTCTCAGCCTCAGAGAAAAGCAAACCCCTCTGAACAAATCTTGCCAAGGAAAACCCATGAAAAAACACCCGAAGTGGGAAACTACTTGAAAACACTCAGTAACAGCAAGAAGAAAAATATACTGCTGATCTTACAAGCTTGAGTATTACTGTAGTCTATTCCTATTTTCTTTCCTAATGGATTTCTCAACAGGATAATTCTGTTTTATAAGATGTTTGCACTAACAGCAATGTAAGCTTTAATAGTATTACAAATGGCAATTGAGTGTGCAGCTACTCTCATTGGTCTTTAAATGCTGGATAAGTATAATGCATGGAGTCACCAGTGTTTTTCTATGGAGATGAACATGCAGGCTTTTCACATAAAGAAGGTAGTAAGAGCCAGTGCATTAATTTGGAATTTTGAAGGGACACAATGTCTTCCAGATGTTTTGGATTGTAAGTCCCACCAGCCCCAGCTGATACAACTAATGGTGAAGGATCAAGGGAGTGGGTTGAAAATATTTAAAAGTCAATGGGATGGAGAAGATTGCTACACACATACAGCAAATATTCTTTGAGATCACAGAAGTAGTACACACTATTTAGCGATATCTCAATGACACACTTCTAACTAGGGAGAAGATAAAAAGAAAGAGTGATACAAGAATAATAAAAATGAGTTTACATCCAGGCACCATTCTTGCTAGAAAACCAAGTTAAGATTTAGAAATGCAAACATGCTCAGCCGTGATAAGCAATAACGGTTAAGCTAATTTCTCACTGCAAATCAGCTCTTTGGAATGCAGATTTAAAATGGGTTGTATTTTGTTTAATTTAGTAATCTAATCATGAAGCCAAACAAATGTTGCACACCTCTTTTTTCTTGATGTAAAGAAACAAAAACTATTCAATGGGATGAGGAGAAGCTGCAGAGCTCTGTTCTAAGAAATGGATTGGGAACTAAAGATCCCATCCCAACCTAAACTGAACTGAACTGGGTGAAGCATTTGACATCAAGATATGAGGAGACAGAATAAAGATACAAGAAAGGGTAGGGTGCAAAAAAGGAGAAAAGATTCATCAGAAAGCCACATACACCAAAAATTAGACCCGAGGCCAATACTGCCTTTTCAGATTGCAAAATGAAGAGTAGGAGAGACTCTTTGGATTTGTTAGCTGCCATAAATACCCTTCTGCTGAATGATTTAAGTCTTATTTAAGTAAAAAAGTTTTCGTAAATCGCAACTGTGGGAAGAATTCATCACAGTGCTTACGTTAAATGCAGTATCAGTCTTCAGTGGCCAGAAATGAATTGTGTTTAATCTAACTCTAATCTACATTTTAATGTATACCAGAAGTACACTCATAATCAGAATAAGTTACCTATTGTGAAAAGCTCACAGTACCTCTCTCTTTTCTGCTAAACAGGAAAAAGTTCGGGCATCTCACTTTAACCAGAAACCCAACCCTTGGAATTTTCTCTAAGAACACCTATTTGCCCAGACCTTTACAGTATCCCAGTTATTAACAAGAAACGACTCTGAAAGATTTGTTTTCACTTTTACACTGCAATGAATTCAAACTGGTTAAGAATATCAACACATTCAAATAAAAATCCAGCATACAGTGAGCTGCTCAGTGGTCTGGTTGCTGCATCCTATTCTTTTGGAAGAGGGCTGACACAAAATCCAGTCACCAATCGTCTATATTGGCTGTTGTGAACAAAAGATGAATTATACTGAATCAGCTGAAAAGCTCTCCATTGGAAAAAAAGCAACTCAAATATAGAAATGTAAAGGTAAAATTGAAGCTATTATGGCTATGGACCTAACAGACTCAAGTGCATTAAAATAAATAAATAATCCCCTTTGCTAGAAAAGTCAAAGAGGAACAAAATCTCTTCTCAAAGGCCTCCACTACCCCAAAACTGTACTCTCTCCTTCTAGAACAAAGTTCTATAACTTTATGAAGATGAATTTAAAAGGATGTGTTTGTAGACAATGAACAATCACAACATACTGTGGAATAGGTAATTCCAAAGGCTGGCAGGCTGCAGAGCATCGCTGTGACTGCCATTTTGTCTGACCGGAAGTGACACTGCCTTCATTACCTCTTATTGCCTTTTGGCTCAATTTTCAGCGGGTTTTAAGGGCTGTTACAGTCTTCTAAATTAGTGATAAGCGTTGGTTTTTTCAGGCCCCAAACCAATGGGTTTTTTACCTGAAAATTTCCTGGTGGATGCTAATGAATTTGAGGTTCAGTGAGAGTCCAAAGGAACACAACAATTCTCTAAAAACCTGCATGCGACTTCCAGTATGCATAATTCCCATCCTTGCCATAGACTCTGCAAGCCGCACACATCCAAAGATTAAATTTGGAAAAAGATACAACTGTACTTTACTCACAGGAAACTATTTTTAGCAACAATTGCTTCTTCTATTCTTAGCAATGTCCCACTTTCCCTCTTCTGAGTCAAATCCACACTACATTAAATATACACAAGCAAGTTGCGGCTACAGCTCTTCTTCACTGTGCTTTCCAGAACTCTCTCGAATAGAAGACAAACTGTACTCTGAATAAAACTCCATTACACCTACATTTGAAAGTGGCGAAAAATTTTAAATGATTTATTCTGATGACGAAGGGAAACTTACGAGACCCCAAGCTCTCTTTTCTTGTAGTTTGAATCCATCTAAATCCCAAAACAAGGATGAGAACTTGTGGATTTCAAAATGTTTTAACTGCAGCTCCCATCATGACTTACCATCAGCTACAATGGCTAGGAGTGATGGGAACCGAAGTCCAACAATATCTGGAGGGTCAAAGGCTCCCCAGTCCTATCTTACGATCATTTTATGAGACTTACAATCAACACACAAACATTACACAAAGAGAGGAAACTAGTGTTAAACTGAACATTATTTTCCCCCTGAAATTCCAGTGCAGGGGTAGGCAACCTTTCCCCTTTAAGGGCCGAGGGACTTCAGCTCCCAGAATCCCAGGAGCTATTGGCCAACATGGGACTATTGGCCAACATGGCTGAGGCTTCTGGGAGCTGAAGTCCCTCGGCCCTTAAAAGGGGAAAGGTTGCCTACTCCTGTTATACTTCAGTGTATATTAGAAGGCAAAAGCAGCAGTAGGAAGAGTCACAAAGGAGACAGAGGACCCCAAACCAGAAGCACCTCTTCCATTTTCCATCATGAAATCCAAGCTTCAACACAAGGTACGACAAAGGCAAATGGCATTAAACTTCAAGAGGAGAAAATCCTCACCTCTAGCAGAATCTGCCTTTCTGCCAGCCTGTATTTCTATCACAATCTGCACAGTCCAATTTCGCACTCAATGCCATTATCTCTACTGACTCTTTGCTACCCAGTTTACATTTCTGACCATTTAGCATTTTGTAATTTTCTCAAAAGCGAAGTGAAAACTCCAGTGAGAGAAAGTGGGAAAAATTAAATCACCAGGAATGGAATAAATTAAAATAAAACACCAGGAACTAGAATCTAGATGTCTAATTAATGGTCACAGTGACTCTCATTCAATGGTGTGAAGTACAGCAACATCCCAGATCCACAAAACAGCAACACCTTTATGGGGGCAGCCCAAATGCAACAGGTATATTGTGCATTTGGGTTCACCCCGTAAGTAAAGGTGGATTTTGGATGCTGTTGTACTTTACAGCTGATACAAGCATTTAATTACAGTAACTGTTGTAATTAGATGTTAATGCCCTGCACCTTTCACATAGCCCTGGGAAGGCTCAAAGCAGCTGTTTGCAATCATTGCAAACAGGCACAGGTATTTAAAATGACAGCAGATCTTCTAATTAAAAAATATAGTTTGGGTGTTGGACCACAACTCTGGAGACCGGGGTTTGATTCCCAGTTGGACCCTGAAACCTACTGGGTATCCTTGGGCCAGTCACACTCTCTCAGCCTCAGAGGAAGGCTATGGCAAACCTCCACTGGGGTGAGGCATTGGCATGCTTTTGCAGAGGAGGCTCAAGAGACCTTGCAAACCTACAGATCCCAGGATTTCATAGGGATGGAGTGACAGCACTTAAAGTGGAGTCAAACTGCATTTGTTTCTACAATGTAGATGCACCCCAAAAGATGCAATGTGGCTTCCAAAAACCACAATTGATACAAATCCCAAGGTAGCCATGTTGGCCATACAGCAAAGTACAACATCTGAAATCCACAAAACAGCGATACCTTTATTATATGATATTAGATATAAATGCCTCCCTATATTTCCCATAGCCCTGGGGAGGCTCAAGTTCATTGTGAACAGGGACAGGTATTTAAAATGACAGCTAATAATAATAATGATAATAATAATAATGCTTTGCCTTTCCTACAGCATGGTGGGTGTGCATGTGTTGGAAATCAAGGTGGAATACAAAAATGCAAACAGATAACAGGCATTTAATT